GCTCACACCAGGAGCCAGCTTCAGTGCTTCCGGCAGCAACACGGGCTTCCACATCACCTGGCACGTGGCCTCGAGATCTCGGGGCACGGGATGAAGCCACTTGTGAGGATCCTGGCTCTCCCCGTCCCCAGGGTCCAGGCCCTGCAGAGGTACGCCGGTGCAGCCAGCCCACAGCTCACCCAGCAACTCGGCCCCCCCCCCCCACCCCCTATAGTCTGGGGCTGGGGCTGCGGGCCACGTTGGGGCGCGCCGGGTGTGTGGCGAGAAAACGGAGCCCGGGACTGGCGAAGGGCAGCTTTGAACCAAAACCTGGCGACGGTAGGCCTAAACTTAAAGTAGGGAATTGGAGGCTGGGGCCGGGGCCCAAGGCTCGGAAAGGAACGCTAGGCGGGATAGGGAAGAACACTGACGGGGAGACGCGGACGCTGGGGGCGGAGGCTTGCGGTCCGGCTGGGGCCTCGGTCTTCTCGCCCCGTTGACGCCCGCGATAGGCTTCCAGGGGGCATGCCTCGGAGTCTGGGACCAGAACCTCCGCCAGCGGGCGCACCCAGTGGCGCGACAGCCGCGCTGGGTCCAGGCGCGCCATCGCCGCCTTGCGGCCCATTCTGTAGTGCAGCGCGCTGGGCCGCGCATCGGCGCGCCCGGGCTGCTGCGGCTGGAAGCCCCCGGAGGGGCTGAGCGTGGTGGGGCCGCCCGCAGAGGGGCCGGACACCGACACGACCGAGGGCATGCGGGGCACCTTCTCCTCCTTGAGCTCCGGCCGGTCACTAGCCGCGTACGGCTGCGGCTGGGAATAGTAGAGGTCCTCGAGCGAGAACTGAGAGCTGAGGGGCTGTGCCCTCTCGACAGAGACCTGAGGGCTGGCTACCAAGGACAGCTCCAGAGAACTGTGGGGACTGCCGGCGGGCGCCATCTCTTCCGACGGTTGGCTGCTCGCGTTCAAGGATCCGACTGCAAACAGGTGGCCCCTTGCCTGGTCGTCCAGTTTCTCTAAAGGACCCCTGGGCCCTGTCTCCTGAAACAGGACCGGGGTGGGTACGGGGCCCGGGGTGACTCTCAGTTCAGGAGGACGCTCCCAAGATTCCATCTGCTCCTGAGAGCCTGTATCCATCCACGATCTTCCTAAAGGGATCTGGTCCACGTTCTCGTGGTCCTGGGGAAATGCACCAGGGTGGAGGTGAGGGGTGAGTGGTGAGACGTCAGAAAGGGTAGAGAGGAGGTTAGAGCAGTCCAGTGAGGCCCTGAGGAGATCGAAGACGCGGCGGGGGCGGCGGTGACAGCGGGGAGGTAGCTGGGGGCTGAGCTTACTTCGCCTTGGAAGGTCTCCAGCCCCACCGAGGTCAGCGCGTGTAGCACGGGCACGGATCCCTGAGCCCAGGCTTCCGTCGTGCAAGACAAGGGTTCCTCGTCCTCGCCCCATGTGGGGTCCTCTGCCACTGCAGATTCTCCTTCGTCCCTGGCCAGGAAGCGCCACTCGGTGATCTGCAGCATGGCTTCCCGTGCCTGGCTGATGGTGAATGGAATGCACTGCAGAGGTGAGAAAGGGTCTCAGCCCAGCAGGGAGGGGTCAGGGAGAGGGGAGATGGGTCTGGAGAACAAGGATCCAGGCCCACCTGTTGGGTCAGGTAGACTTTAAAGGCAGAGTCCATGACTCGGGCCAGCAGATCAGCCAAGATGTCCCCCACCACTTCCTCGCCCTCTTCGAGAGCCGTGAGCGCCATCCACTCAGCCTCAGTGAGCCGCCCAGGCACTATGTCCACCTGCGGCACCGGAACCGTAGGCGGCCGCGCCTTTTCCGCCTTGGATCGGGTCACCCCGCGGTCTCGGACCTGCCTCTGTGGGAAAGGAACAAGGCAATCAGGGCGGGAAACCAAGGAGTGGAAAAGCAGTTATGGGCTAGGAGGAAGCTTCCTCAAGTTGTCTAGTAGGAAAGAAAGCCTTTAGAGAGGGATAATTTACTAAGAGACTACTATGTGACAGATGCTTTTCAGGTGTGTGACCTAGCTAATTTAATTTTCATAACAGCTCACTAAGCCCATTTTACAGACAAAGAAACTGAAACCTGACAGCAGTTTACCTCCACTTGCTTGGGATTACACAGTGAACCCAGGCTGTATATAGCTCCAACTGCACAGTCCTTGCTATTTGCACTAGTTCAAAGTGTTCAAAACTCTTGCAAGTTCGAGAACTTGAGAAAGAAAAGTCAACAGGACTTCGCTGGTGGTGCAGTGGTTAAGAATCCACCTGCCAATACAGGGGACATGGGTTCCATCCCTGGTCTGGGAATATCCCACATGCTGAGGAGCAACTAATCCCACGAGCCACAACTAGAGCCCACACACTGCAACTACTGAGCCCATGTGCTGCAACTACTGAGGCCCATACGCCTAGAGCCCATGCTCTGCAACAAGAGAAGCCACCGCAATGAGAAGCCCACGCACCACAATGAAGAGTAGGCCCTGCTCGCTGCAACTGGAGAAAAGCCCGCACGCAGCAGTGAAGACCCAACACAGCCAAAAATAAATGAAATTAATTTTAAAATGTAGGGGAAAATAGTTTAAATTGTCATATAATCTCTGGGTGAGAAACAGCTGCCCAAGCATAAAAGTAATGTAAGAAATAATAAAGAAATGGGTAGATAAGTATATATATGTCAAATTTTCCTCTGCTTATTTTAAAAAAACATTCCTAATTAGAAGGTGATAATAGTAGTTTTCATTTACTGGCACTTAAAGTATATCAGTCACATACATGGATTCAATTCCTACATATTTTAGACTACATACTATTTTTATCCCCATTTTACAGAATTTGCCCAGGACAACAGAGCAAGGAAGTAGTGGAGTCATATTTCATATGCCAGAGTCTGTCTGACTCCAGAGTTTGACTTTATCCTGCTTCCTAAACAAAAAATATGAGCAACGAATTTTAAAAAAGGATAAATATCCTCCAATACATTAAAAATGCATAAATTTTTAAAAAAATCATAAGACCTCCAAGGATAATAAGCAAAGGACATAACATTCCACAAAAGTGGAACCGTTGATGACTAATAAACCTTCAAAAGTACCAATTCCAGTTTTATGAACACACACAAAGGGATATTCTGAAATGAAAATAAAAATATATTCTCTAAAATAGTCCCCTTGATGTCATTTATAATAGCAGAATGTTGAAAACATACATCTAACAAAAAGAGAATAGGTGGCTAATTGTGTGCTACCTATACGATGGACTATTATGCAATGATTAAAGGCAGTCTTTAGGAAGAATTTACAATAGCATAGGAAAATACTTATGATGTAATGTTAACTGAAAGAAACAGGATACAAAATTACATATCAAGTATGATCTCAGATATGTAAACCAATGTGTTGAAGAAAAGGAAAGCACAAAAATTGTAATAGTGGATATGTTTCTTTCCTACACTCTTCTCCATTTTATAAGTTCTCTACAGTGACTTTGTATCCTTTTATAATCAAGAAAAATCCACTGAAAAAGAAAAATCTAGTCCCCCCAAAATCCATATTAAGGACATAGGAATTTAGTAGCAGATTCTTGGGAGCTTTCTCATTTCCCCACAACAGTCTCCCTGAACCTGATTCCTTCTAAAATTTACCTCCTAACATAATCTTCCCAAACCTTTGCCTCCCCATCCCCACCCTTATTGCCTCATACATGGTGTTCCCCCAAATTCATTCTCCCCCAACTCTGGTGTTTCCTAAACCTCACGCTGAACTCAAAATCCCTTAAGCCTCATTTCCTCTCTCTGCTAGAGAGAACAGTCCTCTTGGCAAGCCCAGGGAATGGCCCACGGCCCAGTCCAGGCTTGGCCAGAGCAGAGCAGGTAGGGCTGGGAGAGGAGAGTTGGTTCCTTAGACTTCCCCACCCAGCGTCTCCTGTGACACCCGTGATAATGGCTGTACCTATAAGTGGCCGGAGCAGAGGGGCCAGACATTGTTGCACGAATTCTCTTCAAATCTGTTTATTTTAAAGTTTCTTACCTTTTAAACAATTGACTTTCAAGTGCAGCCTCAGAATTGTTGTTTAATCCATTTCTTCCTCCTGAAATTCTCGAAATGTATCTTATCTAGCAACACCTCTCCCCAATGCCTAATTCTGGTTTATCCGTTCAAATGGGTACCTCAGTATAAGAAACATTATTATACACGCATTAACTGTTTCCAAAGTCACTTCTTTTTTTTTTTTTTTTTTTTTTTTTTTTG